TAACTACACGTTCAGCAACACACGTTCATCTGTCCTGTCAGGTCCTAGTCTCCAGTGTCTTGGAGCCATACCCACATGTTGCCCGATGAAAGAGGGGGCGTTTCAACCCAACGCTGTCAACTCCACAGAGGTGACTTTGCACTTCTGTGGGCCCGGCTGCAGCGACTCAACTCTTTCATGGACCAGTCCGAACTGCAAACAGATCGGGGATGCCCGGTGATGAAACAAAGCTGTAAATGAGATCTTTTTGGAGTCGTCCACAACAGGTACTTATATATAGAACTGGATGAATTTGAGTTGCGAAGGGGAACACAAAATGGAGCGGGCAAGAGCAGTAGCTGAGAAAAATGATTCTGGATTCTGATCCAATCCTGACCCTTTAGATTCTTGAACATACTTCATGAACCCCAAGGTACCGGGGTACCTCTCGATGCTTCCTGACCTGAGTGAATCAAACTCTTGAAGCTACAGCCCAAGTTTCCTGGACTTGCGACTCCTGCACCTTGGCCACTTTGGCGCAAGCTGGCAGATGTTCATTTCAGTGCCCGTCTGTCACACACCAGTATTCCAATTCTGACATTCCAATTCCAATTCACTATCCCTTGTCACACTATGATGAAGGAACACCCCCATGAGTTTGGTCCGCCTTGTTCCTGCCATACTCGCCGTCTTTTCAAAAGACTTATTTCTGCATATGCTTCAAACAACCCCCCAAATTTAATTTGGTCCACCTTTCTTGGTGCCCCCTTTTTAACTACTTGCCTTTCGTTCTTTATTCATTTATTTATTCAACCCATTTAGTTTTTCAAATTCCATCTGCTTAACTAGGACTCTTCATGAAAAGAAGTCTTCCACGTTTTAAAAAAGAAACTAACTTCTCAGACCCCCAATTAACAAACCTTCTGGGGGAGTGTTGATCTTTTCTCGACATCCTTGACTCCACCATCCTGCAGGTCCCCTTTAGGTTCTTGTCTGGCATCAATCCACACCCGGGTCACCCGGACTGCTCGCCACGTCTCGCGTGGAACCCGACATGTGTCCGACCGCTTCAGGGATCCACCGGAGCTGAGGGATCCTCCTCTTCCTGGCAACTCGATACTTCGTGGTCCAGCGTCAAGCGAACTGTCCAGCTGTTCATGTTTTGTAGGGGGAACCCCTTATCACGGAGAACAAGCTTGGGCAGGGCGATCCACTGGCTGCGTATGATCATGGTGCACGGGAGGGGAAAAAAGGGGGGAACCGGGACCACGTCTCTCTGAGGACGCTTCGACTTCCGATCGGCTGTGCCGGTCTCCCGGGTGGGGAACCGAGTCGAGAGGGTCTGTGTGGCAGCTCATCAAACAGCCATGCTGACATCTGAGCGATGGACCAAATCTCCCGCGACCGAGGGACTTAGTGGATGGTCCGCCCCCAGGAACCTCTTTCCATTCTGAAGCAACTCGTAGCTTCACCAAGTGATGTGGCCTCCAACCTAGCGATGGCCAGCGTCCTTGTTACTAGACCAGGGGGTTACACTCCTCATCTGAGAGTGAAACACCCGACAAATTCTCCGCGACTGTGATTGGTGTGGTGTTCCGGCCTTTAAGGTGCCACGACTCTCCAAGAGAGTCCTTCATTGACTAGATGTGTGGCGATCAAAACTCTTTGGAACAAATCTTATGCCAGTCAGACAGATTTCAGCAGTACACCCACAGTCTTGGACAAGGTTAGACTAGAGCTTTGAGGGGAGGAATCGCTGTCTTTTGGAATAGGGACAGGTTTCAACCCATGTTGTACAGGTACGCAAGGAAACAAAAAAGAAAACTTCACTGAGTTGAAAACAACAGCAAAGGACAGCTGACATTAGAGAGGAACTTTGCAAGCAAGGTAAACGCATTCACCAAGCTGTTGCTGCAACATCTTTGTTGGTTGCAAACCTCCTCATGAACGGACAACTGGTGGACAGGCATAATGGAGGACATCGCTTTGGGGCATCGCTGCTTAGGTACTTAGGTATTACTAGGGGCGTCGCTGCGATTTGGCCCCGCAAGAGACTACTGCTGCAACTAGATTCAAGCACTTGCTCATCCTTCATGTTCAATGGTAGGGAATCGCTTTTGGGGGGGAATCACTTCCCTGAATTTGTTAAAATATGTTAAAATTCTTGAGATCGAAGGTGGCTCATATCTTCTGCTCTACATACCGTCTTTTGACAGTTGCTCATATGGCAGCAAGAACCAGTCTTGCCTCACGTGCCTTGCAATTTCAGTGTGTGTGTGTACTCGGCTTCATGCCCCAATTTAAAACACTGAAACATGCTAGACACTAAACTCTTCATACCACACCGACACCCCAATGGGATCAATAGGCGCATCATGGAGCATCCCCCCCGCTCCAGCACTCCCCTCCACTTGCTCCACTCGCTCCACTGTCCTCTCGGTAGAGGATGTTCTGAATCTCCTCGACAAACTTGTTCACCGTCATTGAGGGCTCAGGGCTCTTCTCCCAAACCTGCGAGAGGCTTTAGGGCGATGGCAGGGCTCTTCTCCTCAACGAAAGGCGACCAAAAAGGAACACACTTAGGAACACACACCAAGAAGAGTCCATCCATGTCCTGCTCACCATCGTTGAAGGATACATCATCAGGTTCTGATGATCGAACATCTTGTTACTGTTCCTTTTGATTTTCTGAAGTGTCCAAGCACAAAACCTCCTTCTGTGACAACAAACTATGGCTAATTTACTAGGCTGGCCCCCATGCGTATTTGACTGTCACTCAACAAATACGTTTTGAAGGAATGCGATGATGCTGCAAATGGGTGAACTGAACGGCCCCAGCTGAAGCTGCGATCTTGAACAAATCAAATTCTAGGACTGGTCAAAGTGGGGGTATTCCCTGAAAGCCATTGGCCACCGTTGCCACATGGTTGAATCACCCTAAAATCCATTAAGCACCTCTATAATATGCAAAGCAAACAAACAAACAAAACAAAGATGTGTAACAGTACGTATATATATATATACACTATTATATAATGTGAACCGTTGACGTCGTCAATCCTTTGTGGACACCAAACTCAACCACCTCAAACATCCTCAAATCATAGCCATCCTTCGCTCTGGTGACACCCATTCTAAAAAAGGCAATCAACGATCCGTGCGGTGGTCCTCCCGTGCATTTTCCAATGGAACTCTGCTTTGGCATTATCCGATCAGTTTCATCATGTTTCATATTGGACCAACACGTGCTCTGAGGAACACTTTGAGTGACTTTCCAACTGCCTGGTTCGGGCCCGGATTCTTATGGAAGAACTCGTTTGCTGGAGCAGGTTCGTTCATGCCAATCCTTCCGTGGTGCGCCGATCAGGCTTGCCGCATGTCACTGCATTCGTGGGCCATGGGGCTAGGAACTTGATGGAATTGGTGTTCCGCCAGAGATACACTGCAGGACTAATCAGCAATCCCCACTCGCTGCCTAGCTGGATGGTCAAATATCTCCATACATGGATTCATCAACAGAGTCAACATATTAGTTTTTCTATTTTTTTTAGGGGGGGTAGGTAGCTAGTAGTAGCTACTAGCTGCAAGTAAGCTACTACCTAGGACGCAGGATAGCTCGGGCTTCTTCAAGAAAGCTCCCCCCGCCGCCCTAAGGGAAGCTTCCTTGAAGAAGCGCTCGCACTAATGATTTGGTTACTAGTTTTTTAGGGACACTTAACATATGTAATGCTTTCCTTCCTCACATTCCAAGGTTCCTTCTTCAAACCTCATGTGGTCTTTTGTGGTGCCCACCGATCTAAAAACAAAACACGTGCAGAACAATACGCAGAACATGAAAAGAAAGCGCCGCCTCGCACATGATCTCGATATCACGCAGCCGGCGAAAGTAGAAGTCCCGCTCTTTCTCGAGACCATCGACCTGTCGGGAAGTTGGGCTCGGGTCAGTCATGCGCCGCCTGCCGCATCCTGCCGGATCCTGACTGGTTGGTCTAATCCTGAAAGGCAACATTTTCACCGGTAGACCTAGAACAACGAACCTGAGTGATTCCCTTTTTTGGACCATCAAACACACACACAAAAGAAAAAGAAGATACATATACACTATAATATTTCAACTATATTATAACTATACAACTAACATCAACTAACTATAATACACTTTGGGGATCTTTTTGGCATATCCGAATAGGTGTCGGTGGGTGCTGGGACGTTCTGGGTAACACGCCTCTTCAGGGAACCACCCGACAGCAGGGTGAAAGTGTTTCCTGTTGGGACGATCGGCATGGTCGGTACATCTCTTGAGTTGCTCCTTAATATCCAGTATCGCCCCCCCCACCCCGTTTAACTTAAACCCGGCAGCAACACAACCAAATGTGGGGCGGGGGCAACTTGCAATCCAATGTATCTCCCTTCATGAGGGCGGTGCAAACATGTCCACGTGAATCCTGTGAGGAGGACACATGTTCAAATTAATCCTCTACTCACATCCTCCCCACTTGCTGATTTTCAAGACAGTACAAAGCAATATAAAACATGATAAAACAATAATAAACAACAACTCGAAAATGCACCACCTTGCCAATTGCCTTGGAAGTTCACTTCCTGTGGCGAAGTCAGTGCTTGGTTTCAAACACCGTCTCCTCCAGTCGATCCGCTCATTCAAGGCACTGTGATCTTTAGGTCGACCACTTCCTCCCGCATGCGGTCGTGTTCCTCCTGAAACCGAGCTGCGGTCGAATGGCTGGCACGTCGTGACCACTGACCACCCCACAGTTGGTGACGCTGCAATTTCTTGGGCAACCGACATGAGCATTTGACAGTGGCAAGTTTGAAGATGTCTGTGTAAGATTCTGGTCAGATTCAATGCCAGTGTTTGATCGTTTTCTTACCCCGGCGTGTGCGTTCGGACCCTGTCAAGTACTCTCTGCTCTACCTCTCTCTAATTTATCCAATTCATTGAAAGTACTTGCAGTACTTTGCAGTATATTAAGTCTAAAATGCACTATCACATCTCTGCTGATGTGGTTGTAGTGTATCTATCTCGTAGTGGACAGGTGGAATTCTTCATTGGGGGGGTCACATGGCAAGCGCCGTCTGTTTTGCCCATGCAATCATCTGCTTGCTGCACACGGCAGCGGAGCTCATGGGGCTGGCCTCAGTGCCGGAACGGCCGTTCTGAAACCAAAAGAAACCGTTCGAAAGTGCCCAAGACAATGACGTCCTTTTGGGAACAATCGAGGGGTCAGTTTGGTACTACATACTCTATTGGCTGTACACTTCGAGGGTATCCCCTCTTCTACAAACTTGGATTTGCATCGTTGGAACCGGGAAGAAGAACAAAGAGATTCCCTAGGTTAGGGGATTCATCCATAGGAAGATAAACTGACCCTTAAAAGAACAAAACAACCTCGATATGGTGCTCATGAATGTTCACGGTTCACGCATGTTCACGCTATTCGTTCCTCAAAAATTCTGGCCAGCCCAAGGGCAGGGAAACCAAGATTCTTTGTTTTGTAAGATGAATGCTGTGTGTGACTTGAATCACCAATGCCCAATGGTAGACTCGTTAACCTACGGTTGTTTGAGATTTGTGTGTGGGTGGGGCACATCCTGAGCTTGGATTTGCTGGAGGTGCTTGCAACCTGCTTGCAACCCGCAAACTCTGAACATACTCCCTATACTATTCCCTATATGATGTCATGTATGGATGTATGGTAGCTCCCCAAAAGTCCTATATATGTGTCTTTTATTGATTGTCTTTTGTATGCACTGCATATGATCATACATTTCTCAATAGTTCTCAATTGAGCCACTCTAAAAACTAGAAGAAACTCCCTATGTCGTATCAGTCAGTTTGTTTTCGCAGCAGGCTATCCGAGTGGGCTTACGCGAACCCTACGCGGAAGCCTACGAGCAGGTTTCGCGCACAAACCATAGCTGGAGGAACTGCACTGCTTGGTCCATGAAAACTCTGGAAACATGTCATGCCAAAACCCTCGGCCTGTACTTGACTTGGCTTTGCTCAAACAGACTTGACTTGGAGGCCAATCTCCCGGACAGGGAGGACAGGATTGCTTTCTCATCTTGCTTTCGAGCAAGGCAACTACTACACTCAGGGTCATCCAACTTCAAAAGGTGCTTACGCACACATGCTTCGGCAACCTTGTACCCCCAAAATGCTTGCGCAACCTTACCAAACTCATGGTTTTGCTTACGCGGGGTTTGATATGACAGGACCTTGACTAAACATGTAAAGGAAGGTTTCTAGAGCTGCACAATTCTCTTTGAACTGATTGAGGCTTTACCATACGCCCAAAGGTTTCTAAATGCTTCCAATGGCCAATGGCAACAAAACATCCTACGTGGGTCTGAGTGAGGATGTCATGGTCCAACGCAGGGTTTCACTTCATCGTTCACAGCATGGAGCGTTCCAGCACGGATCGTTCCAGCTTTCACCGGATTAAAGAAAAAGACTGGAGGTCTGGTGGATTGAAGAGACTTTCAGCTTTCACCTTGGGCTGCCTGGGGTCACTACCCGTCACAAATTTTCTTGCGGATGTTGTTTGCCCCACCTCGCCTCAACATGTCGAACCCACAAGCTTCGAAGCAGGGAAGCTTAGGGACGAAGAAACTTCCCTGGGAAAGAGTTCTACCCAATGGTGTCTTCCCAACATGTAGGAACTCCCACACCCCTCCAAATGAAGGGGGAGAACATCTATGAGGGCAAGGGGAGTATCACGGGCAAAGCCAGCATCCCCTTGGTTCCGCTCGGCCCAAGTGAAACGTCTAGTTGTCAATTTTTGGGGTAGGTAGCATCCTTCCAAGTGAGACCATTGAAGCTAAAAATTACAAGGGGGTCCGTGGAAAACATGTATAAGACCATAATAATGTACAGGTGTTCTTTTCCTTGGTGTCCTAAAGAAATTATGATAAACACATTTGACCTATCTTGACCTTCTATACAACCAACATCAAATCAGTCATGTCATGGCCTTCCGACCCACTTGGACCCAGGAGCAGCGTCGAAAGCCCATTTGACCCAGGGCATAGGACATGTTTCCTGCAGCGGAGGGCGCCAGCGGGACAGCCAGGCTGAAAAGGGTGGCAGCACTCACAAGTCATTGGCTTTTCCAACGTGGATACCCTTTGTTACTTGTAGCTTCTTGATACTAGTAGTATTGCCAGGAGCTAGTAGTAGCTTCTTGCTCCTAGTAGCAATGCCCTTTGCTACTAGTAGCAATGGCCTTGTCATTCGAGGTCTTACAACTCCAAGTTTCATGACAAACGCCTGGACCTGATACCGGTTCGGACTCCATCTTTCGACCATTCATGTATGGAATAGTTTCCATTAGTATCCATTATAGTTACCTGTATACATTAATGGGGTAAATGTATGTACTGTATACTCCAACAGACTCTAACCATTCCATACATGGATGGTCTGGGTGATCTGATCTGAACGCACGTGAATCTGATCCCAAAGAACGCACTATCTCCTCACCCACCTTCGGACAGCGAGGTTTGTGCCCCGCAAGTCTGACCCTTCGCCAGAAACACTCCGAGTGTCCAATGTGCTGTGGTAGCAGCTCATCCACACGCAAACTTCCACAGATCGATCGGAGAAACATGGGATGCTGGTAGCCTCTGCGGAGAGAAGCCAGGGCCAGGGGCTGGGCGGTTACGCCACGGAGACCACTCAGCCAACATTGGTAGATCATGGTAGATCAATAGATCCAGGAGATGATCCCATAGTTCATCAATTCCAAAGCCACCGGGGTCCGCTCCACAAGTCCGCTTTGGAAAAGGGGATGGAACAGCTCTGTCTACCGAGTCAGAGGACTTCTACAAACAATGTTACATTCAATGTTCTAAAGTTCTAAATGAACACTCTAGTTACTTGGAATCGAACCCTTCAGGCTGTAACTAGAACATATTGCAATTGCAATTCACATCTCTAAAAACACCTCTTCTTTCAACGCGCTTCAGCCTCTTTCACAACCAAAGGGGCCTCCCTCCACACCACTTCCGCCAAGGCACCCAGCAATCCCAAGGCCTTGGCAGGAAAGGAGGGTCCATGCGAGCTGGGGAGTCGATTAGGCGGCCGAGCTGGAGCTTCTTGGTACCTCAAGGCAAGGGTCTAGGGATGCCTAGGGGTGTAGGAATGGCTCTAGCAGCTTCTACTCCGGACCTTCCTAAGGGTCAAGGGTGCTCCTAAGATGTCCGGACTAGGCCTTAGGCAGTCGGATGGATGGAATCAAGGCGGATCTCGACCTCGAGGCTTTGGAACGTCGACTGCTTTGCGATCAACCTTGGATTGGTCCCATCAACACTACAATGATGGTAGGGGTGTGGTTGCTCACCAGGAAAGTCATAAAGGTTCACCCACAAAGGATGGAATGGGCTTTGCGCCTCATTCCCAGAGCCCGACAGATCCCAACAGAAAAAATAACGTGTCACTTTTGAACCTTGGAATTGAATGACACCTGCAAGTCACTTGGTACGAAAGGACCTCTTATTCAGGAAAACATCTGGGTTCACCATAAGAAGTTGACGGTGCAGTGGGCAAAACTCATGTTTAACCATCGTCCGGGGAGTTCGACCGTTGCAGTGACGTGTTTCAGATCTTGTCAAAGGACTCCCACTTGCCCAACCTCTGTCTCGTCTAGGGCACATATGTCATGTTGGAGATGCCCTGCACTGAGAAGCTACTCATCCGCACGGAGGAGAACCTCACTCGTGCCGATGCCACATGGACAAAACCGCTTGAACATCTTAAAACCGGGGGGTCCTGGTTTGGGCGGGCCTGCCCAGTGACCTATAAGGCACATCATCAAATGTCGTCCAGTCTGGAGAAGCCGAACAGGCATGCACATAATGATACATAATGTATGAATCAACATACATTGGAGAATCGAATTGGTCTCTTAAAAAAGACCGTTCCATGTCTGCTGGTGAACGATATCAACAGCTGGGAGACAGTTCCAGTTCCTCTCGAGGTCGTGTGGAAAGTTGTGGGTCGAGACATAGGGATCTGATCCAATATCAGTCGAGACAGGGGTCGCTGAGTCAGCACTTGTCCAAACTACTCATTCAGAATCTGAGCTCCAAACCTCAAAGCTGAAAGTCGACTCTGCGCATGTTTTTCAAGCTGAACAGTACAGTTCTGTTGACAGATCTTGACTGGATAGACAATGGGATCTCCAGATGTCGCCAAGCCAACTAACTTACTACCCTCCTGAGCTGACCCTTGCCTTGATCTTTACAACACATCTTAATGATTGAGTTACGTTCTATTTTTGTATATGTTTGCTGCGCCAACGAGAAACACACACACACACATATATATATAATTAGCGTGCATCCGAGCCCAACTTTGAGAGGTGGTGTGGGACTGTGGTGAGGACATATGACATGTTTCGATTCGCAACCTCGGATGCGATCCGAATTCGCCACCGTGTCGCCACCGGAACCGAGATTCGTTCAAAACAACGAGGAGCACCTCTCTTTGGCTGACGATGCGTGAATACTCAACAAGTGCCAGTAAGGCTCACAAAACAATCCAGGGTTGTGAATCGTTGGGACTCAAAACCCAAATGGGAGCTAGAACGAGATATATGAAGTCCCAACTCATGGCCGACCCCAGGTCGGAACCCAAGCACCTTCGGCCAACCCCTATCCCTCCGAAGTTTTTCCAACTGAGCCCCAGCAACGAGCAGGTGTCATGCAAGAAGGGTTGGCTGAGAAATTGCAGCAAACCCACCTCGTCTCGTGGTGCGTACGTGTTTTCTGCAGCTTCCGCCACGACGTGGGCGTCCCACAAAAAGTGCGAGGGTTGAATGATTTGAATGGATTTTGAAGACTTCAGGATCGGGGAATGGCCACTTTGGCACAGGAAAGGTGTCTTTGGCACAGGAATGGCGCTGCCTGCCATCTACGGGGCCTCCCTGACCCTTGTTGGGTCTCCTTAACTAACACAGCCTAACAAAGCCTAGAATTTATACCCACACACTCCATGTGTGGAATATATAGGCCTACATTGACCCCGACTTCAACCACCCAATGTAGGCAAATATGTCAGTCCCATGGAGTGTTAGGCTTATAGGCGATGTTTATGCCAACAAGAACACCGGTGTTCAAAACCATGAGGTTGTCTGCGCTGCTCACTGTTTGTCGGACCATGCAATGATGGTTGCAGGCGGCCATTCGAAAGGACATGTCCAACACAAAGGAGGCAACGCAAACAGTCATTTCACCATCCGCTGGACAGTGCCCCTGAAAGTCCCCACAAGACTTTCATCTTTAATCAGAAGGAGGCTTTGGGAGATAACTTCAGGTGATTTCAGGTGGGTGTGTACTTTGATAGGGACGCATGAAAACACCCAACCCATGGGTTTTGGTCTATCTTCCTTCCAGGGGTCTTTGCCAGGCCTCCCTTAGTTCAATTACAGCTCTTGACAAAAAGAACCTGTCTCTGTTTTCAGGCTACGCTCGCGGCTCGCAGCTCTTTCCTTTGCCCGAACTCTCGCCGATCCGACGTCCCGTCACATACGTCGCGTAAACATACGACCTGAACGACCTGTGCGGACCGACTTAGTGCGTCTGAGAAGCACCGGCAAAACAGGTCCAACGTCCAAGGGTCCAAGTCGTGCCGAGAAGCCCCCCCCCTAACGTTCGGCCCAAGCACTCCGTAGAGGAGGTTGGAGATGTTCTGTGGGCTGAATTCCGAGAGACGTCCACGAGCCTCTTCACACACAGCTCCTGCAGGGATTTTTGCCGAAATGTGACTCCGAAATGCACTAGCAAACTGAGTCAACTAACTCACAAAAAAGGCAATTCATATTCACCCTATATTCCCGAACTTTATGAAGGCCTACTCTGCTTTCAGGGCCAAAGCTTCTAGCCCTATGCATGGTATATATATATATATACAGTATACAATACATTATTGATCATTATTGTATTATATCATAATCACAGTATATAATATATAATTATATTATATATAGTATATATTCTAATATATATATATATTTATGTATAATGTTGACTTCCTAATAGTAAATGGCCCGTGAATAGTACTAAATCTTTTCAAACATCAATTGTAAATGGCCCTCAAATAGTACTAAATGTTTTCTGGACCTTGATTTTCAGCTGCTTCCAGACCTTGATTCATCCAAGCTGATTCTGAGCTTTCAGCTGATTCCAAAACCTGATTATGTTGTGGTTTCCTTTACTCTGGAATTTTGATTTGGCTGCTGCATGTTTCTTTTAAAATTGCTTATTTGGGCATTGCAATTTGCAACCTGAAATCAACCCACAAAGACTACCCCCCACAAGCAGCCCAAACCTTCAATTACTCAAGACCTCAAATAATACTAAACACTTTTTGGCTGGTTCTTTTGGTGGTTTCCTTTACAAGTCCTTTAGGTTTCCTTTCCTTTCCTTTCCTTTCATTGTCCTTTCAATTTCCTTTCCTTTCATGTTCCTTTCATGTCTTTTCCTTTCCTTTCATTGTCCTTTCAATTTCCTTTCCTTTCCTTTCATTGTCCTTTCAATTTCCTTTCCTTTCCTTTCATTGTCCTTTCCTTTCCTTTCCTTTCATTGTCCTTTCCTTTCCTTTCCTTTCATTGTCCTTTCCTTTCCTTTCCTATTCAAATCAAGATTTTCTAGGATTTTTTCTGGAAATCACATTATTTGGAGCCCACACTTGATCAAGGGGGGGGGGGTTTATTAATAAGAGGCCCACATTACATGTTGTTACATGGGACCCACCCCCAAATCACGATCATGTGGATCACATTCACAACATGCCTACCCTGCCCATCCCTGCCGCCCCCCGTGGCTCCGAGCAACCGGTCATTCCGGACACGAAGCAGTGCACAGGAGTAGACCAAGATCGAGAGCCTCGTGCTGCGAAACGGTGAAACCAACGGTGCAGTTTGAGCACCGTAAAACATGTGTAAGACTAACATGGACCCTGAAAAACACGTCCAGGGAGTCCAGGGTGCCGTTCAAAAAAGATTCCAAAAGGGTCCGTTTGTGTCTATGTTAGTTTTCCGGAGTGTCTAGCTTATGGCTTACGTACTTTCTTCATATGACACACACACACACACACATCACATCACATTGTGTGTGTGCAGCCGAGGAGAGCCAAGGGAAAAACGAGCAATCTATCGATCCAGAACTCGCTCCACAACTCATGAAACACACAAAAGTATTGTAGGGCCAAAGCAGCAGTGATGAACCCAAAGTCTTTGACCCATCGCGCAGGTTCCACCACCATTCACATCATATATATCATCCGGTGTCTTGCCAGGTAGCTCTTGAGGTTTGAACTCATTCATGCGATCCTTGGCATCGAGACGGCGGGGATCTTCCCATCAGACCAAGTTTCGGCAACGGAGACGATTCCCATCAGCAAAGCGCAAAGCTACTGCAACTGCTATGCATCGGATCCGATGAGCCGTGATTGTCTTCGGAAACTGAATCAAACAACTCTTAGCAGGCAAAGGGTATTTTCCGTTTGTACCCTACATCCAAGGAGACACCCTGCATCACCAAATTGCTTTGGAGACTATACTGATCTTTTTCTGATGTCCTTCCCCATACTACATCAATCTACATACATCGTCGCGATTCGTCGCTGGTCCCTTTGCTCAAGAATGATCGGTGTCCAAATTCTCCATGTTGATGTTTGTCTTTTTGCGGATCGAATCCAGTCGAGATGTGCACACCCAGACCTCTGTAGGGACACCGTCTTCAAGGCCTGGATGAGCAGCCCCCATCACGCTACTGGGAACTTGGCAGTTGGCTGGTTTTTGCGGGATTTGGTAGATGTTGTATATTCTCTAGCAATCCTACTAGTGCCATGTCTAGATTTGGGGACATCAACAACCGCAAATTCACCGAATCCAATGGCTTAAAAGCCACTTCAAGCCAGCCATTGGGTTACAGTACATAAGCCAGGTTGTAGGGGCAAAGTCTGTCTGCCTGCCCTTCGCTCGCTCCGCACAACCTACGCCCAGCCCAGCATGCTGCAACATACACACTCCAAGCTTCAGGCATCTTCTCAGCTAGGCTGGTGAAGAAGTTCCGGTGCTTCAGCTTCATCAAACCTCATGGGAGACCAGCACCGATCGTGAAACCCGTAGGAAAGATCTTAGCGTCTGGCAACCTTCTCTTCCTCAAGTTCATCGAGAGGAGAGATGAGGAGAGGGGGTCTGGGCCATCTGGGAGCTGAGAAAGGACACTGAGTGATTCCAAAAACTGATACACTCCCAGCTGAGAAGGGTCTCCTGGCTGGAGGTGTAGTGCAGGGTACACTCCCTGAAATAATGCGAAAGAATCATGGAAGTGGAGTTCACGACCTGTTTGTAGCGTTTGGTCTTCGGATTTCATGAGTCATCCGTTCGTCTTTTTTGGGGCCACGCCATCCACGTTGGCCCATGAGTTCAGGGAGTGTATACCCCCCATACAGACCAGGTGGCAAAATGCATAGCTCACATTCGCCACAGTTTGGCTATTGGACTCGTCCATCCGCTGCGCGAGCACATCGCCTTGGAGCGAGTGCTGCTCACTGGACGCACGAGTGCTGGGGTGTTGTGTTGGACATTTGTTGGACCAAGACACTCAAACAATTTGAGCCCAAACACTCCATATATATATGGCATAGTTAACCATACAGTTTACCCCATTAATAGGTTCATGCCTCCCAGTATTCTTTATCATGTCTTCATAAGTCCTCACTTACCACTTCAGAAGTTCTAGAGCCTCTGCAGCAAGAGCTCTGTAGATGTCAGATGCCCTTTTATTGTTTCCTGTTGGCTGAAACCTGAACACTTGAGGACTGACACTCTGGGCTCTTTTTGACACGCCTCCGAGAGGTCCGGACCCTCCGAGAGGTCACCACCTGTGACGACTGGTGGTTTCCGTCGAACTCGGAGACCTGTAAGCCACTTGACAGTGTGTGGCAAAACGTTGGATAGACTTACAAGCCCGCTACAGCCAGTGCAGCCAATGAACCGTCTTCTTTGCGGATTCACAGGTCACATGTATGTCTAATAGCCAGAAATGGCTCCTAAAGCCCTGGTGGAGCACTTGAATTCACCATCCAAACTTAGCCTGTTTTTCCCCAAAATAGCGGCAGCATCCGTGCCGCCCCCCTGCCGCCCCCTGGCCCCCTTCGGAGCCGTTCGGATCCCTTCAGACAGGGCACCAGCTGCAGGGACGAGGGGTCCCGAACGGTGCCGCAATTGAGCTAAGCCATAGATCCTCACGTCGGCGGGGTCACGACCGGATCCGGACTATGCACGAGCTGAATCCAATCGGTCGTGCGACGATTGGTCGGCGGTTGAGTGGTTGGAATCATCCCCGAGTTATGCACTCTGGTATCAGGAACAAGGACTTGAACGAGTCAAGAGGGACAGTTCCATCCAAGGTGGCTGCTTGGGAGAAGCTAAAGGAACTGAACAACCTGCAGCAACCATGGAACACCATTGATCCTTCAGGAGAGCATTCTCTGTTCGTGTCTGCTCTGGCCTGAACATCGGGGACCGTGGCAGATTTTGTTTGCATCTCCTCATACTGCCACAGTTGCTTGGTGCCATTTGTTTCTTGCCATATCTGCTTAACATTTTACACTCTGACCCACTAATATGGAAGTGGAACACCGCCTGTCTTCCAAGGGACCCTGCCAGCCACTTCCATGTGATGTGTTCGTCGAAGGGTAGCTGATTGGCCCCATCTTTGGGCTCATGTTCCTGCTTGGAAAGGGGCTCATGTTCCGTCCAATGTTAGAGGAATCCATCCAAAAGCACAAACCGCTGACCTAACCCAAACCATCCAAGTTACATGCATTAGGGACAAACATGGGGCAAATGTAGATACATATTCCATCATATTCCGTACACTTGGTCACACTGCCAGACCTGGCCAGACCTGGGACCTGTCTGGATTTCTTCACCATCACAGCGTTCTGTTTACCGCTCCCTTGGAGGACCAAAAGGACCTAGCCTTAGTATGAAACGATGGCTCAATTTCATTCAATTTCCAAGACACAGTTGATCTTGGTTGGCTAGGAGCTTTTTCTGTTTGAATCTAGCCGAGTACTGTAAGTCGATGCCACTTGGCCCGAAGCCAGGCTTGGACACCGTGCATACCGACGCTCATCCGCGTCCGAGCTGCAGCCTTGAAAGATCCTTTGTGCTGAATTGAAGCACTTGTCCTGAACTGAAGGGCACCCGGCGTTGTATATGTCACAGGGACTGTCCAAACTACTGGGGTTCATCGCATCTACTTCATCTACCTTATTTTATTGCTCCCAAAAGTTTCTCATTTATTTGGGTTTGTCCGACAAGCTGACTAAAGATAGAAACTTCTGAAGCAGAACTCCCCTGTGCTTCCTTCCCTTGGACACAAAACGACTGCTCCAACAAAACACAAACATGAGAGGACAACGAAGCCTCTTTCGCCGCCTCCGATTTCGGACCGGACTCCCGATGCGGTTCCCTCAAAAACAACAGTTCACCTTTTCCCACCTGTGCCATCTGTCAACCCTACAAGTCCAAAGACCCAGTAAAACCTGATCTTTTACCTCCTTAAGCATTGGTTTTGTATGACCATCCCCAGTAAAATGAGGGCAATGTGGTTTCTACCAGTCCCCCAGGTTTGGGTGATCCACTTTTCCTGGGTAGGTTTCGCTCCTGGAAAGCGCTCACTGAGATCGTCCATGAGGTCCTGACCAACGGTCCCCCCCCATGAGGTCCGACGTGCGGAATCCGACCAATCCGGCGTCGAGAGGCCAGTGTTGCTTCGGTGGGTTCGCTTCGAGTCGTCCCAAGTGCGCAGAAACATCACAAGCAGGTAAGTCAAATGGCATCTGCATACATCCCCTCATCTCTTCCGTCTTCTAACATGAATAAAGGGACCATGTGGAAAAGCAGAGTCAGACTTGGTGTGGGGTTCATTGACGAACAATTGATGCATGGTCCAGGTTTATGGTGAAGTAAGTTTCATGACAAACGAGGCCAATTTCATTTTAATCGAGGGATAGCTCTGCATGTTTGTGGTTGGGGCTTGTCACATGAAAACCCTTTGCAGCTGCGGAGCCTTGCTGTTTTTCGCTCTCAAGACCAGAGTGGTTTGGTCTCACACACACGTGTTCACACGTGTACCCCTAGAATGCTTGTGCAGCGGTTGCTGTAACCAGTAGTGGAAACTTCATTCACCAAACATTTTTCAGCTAGCTGTGTTTTGAAGGAGGCTTGAACATGTTTTACAACGCTGCTCAAGACCACATCCAAAATGAAGTCATGAAGATGAGCCGGTCTCAAATCAATCTCAGCACACCCTGCGCTTTCAGAGACTGGGCTTGCCGAAGATAGTATAATGGCTTGCCTCAGAGTAGCAACACAGCATTTCAGTTGCACCCGGACCCTCAATTGCGTTTTGGGAATTGGTGTTGCCATGTGCATCGAAGCTGCGTGGCATCAGCTCCTCAGCTGTTCATTGCAGGGCAGCCCAGCCAGTCAGATCTCTAACTGGTTGAAGAGAGAACAAAACAAGATGTAAGATGCCTCATGTTTAATCCGAGCTTCTTTTTCTGCCTTCAAGTAAGCTACGCGCCAATACCGACAAAGGATAGGACTGGCATCCAGGACCTGCCAAATGTTGTAAGCAGGTGGTTATCACATCCACATGCAAAATAGGAAGAAGTGTTCAGCCCAACTGCACAACTATGACATATTGTGATGCGTTTTGTTTTGGACCCTGAACACAGCCTCCAGTGGGAAAGCGCTTGCCAAGGATGACCACTTCAAATTGCCCACACCCGGTGTGTAGGCAAAGACTGCAGGGCCGTTTTGCTTCACCACAAAGAAATCATCTCCTTAGGTTCTTATCTCCTAATGGCTTCAAGAGACCTGTATGAGGCAATGTTTAGGAATTTGTTGCTTTTTGAGCTAGAACATGATAGCGCATCTATTATGTACACATTCCCTTCATTCAAGTCACCATCACCAGACTCCAGCTCCGGACGATCAACCTGATGACCATGGAGCTTGGTATCCACCAGCCCCTCTTCTTCTAGTTCATGGAGGAGGGCACGGATGCTGCAAGGATTCGAATCAGTGCACTGCTTGCTTGTCTCACTCTGAATCTCAAGCACGACCTTCGACAGGTCGTGCTTCCAAGCGGCTGGAATCGTGTGCGAAAGCGTGTCACCTGCACAACTAGTACTTTACTGTGCCAGGGCCAGCAGTCAAAATGCAAAACAGCTCGTCAATGAGAGTTGACATTGAGTGCCAAACAGCTCAAGCCTGTAAATTGAATCCTTTTCCATCCTTTTCCCTTCTCCCCAGAGATGGTCTAAGCTCTAAATGCTATGATCGGATACCAAGCCCCACTCCATCTTGCGCTTCAACTCTCTGCGCTGTGGCAGGGAATCCAAACCAGATTCGCATGATGCTCTGAGTGGGCATCGCTTGACAAACCCGAATTGCTCCACAGGCTCATCAAAAATCCTACTTCTTGCCCTTTTTGGCAGAAGACCTGTCCTGTCCAGGCTTCAATCGCCTCCGGCTCAGCTCCGAATTGCTCATGTTCTTCATGGCATTCAAGCGGGCAGGATGGTCCTCCCACCTTGTCACACTCAAAAGAAACTGCAATTTGATTGACCAGTGGGATTCCTTGATGGGAAAACAGCTCAATAACGTCAATGAGAGGTCACTAGTTGCCACCTGAATGCATCCAAAGCACGAAGCTCTGGCAAGCTTCAAGACCTCAGAAGCCTTCATGTCAGGATTCGCTTTCTTGATTTTCTTCTGCTCTTCATGGATCACCGCCCAGTAGATGGAACGAATGGATTCCCCACCAGACGCCTTGGAATCTGACTGGCCAGGATCCTGAATCTCCTCAGACTCAGCCTCCTCCTCCTCCTCCTCCTCGTCCTCCTTCTTGTCCCAATGGCCAAGCTCCAACGTCGTTGACTCTTCAGAGTCCAGGGAATTCTCCTCCTCAGCCTGATCATCCAGCTGGTGGATCTGGTGATGAGGGGAATGGTATCCATATGGCCATATGGCCCATATGTTTCATTATGTTTCCATGTTACTGTTAACGAAGGGCCTGTGTTAAACCTCGCCCCATGATGTTAATTACAAGCATGTCATATTCCTTCACTTGAGACTTATGACATTGACATGTTTTCTGAGGCCTGAACCTCAGCATCGGCTGCCTTCTTGCCAGCGGCCATGGTCTCAGGGAGCACCATGCATGCCAACAGGGCGTCAGAATAATGACTAGAAAACAACGAGTCATGGTCTCCACATCTCAGAAAAAGTTCTTTGTATGTTTGTCACAGAGCAAAAACAAACCAGGCCTTAGCCTTCTTAGAGACACGTGCTTTTGCTTTTGGCTTTGGAGCAGCCCGCCCACGTTTCTTGTTTCCCGAGTCAGTTGGCTTAGTAGGCTCAGTAGAAGGCTCTCCTTTTCCTTTCTTTCCCTTACGACTCTTAGCAGCTTCCTCATCCCCATCCCCATTGCTTCCAGCTTTTGCCTTTGCCTTCGCCTTTCCCCTTGCCCTCGCCTTTGCCTTTGGTTCAGCCTCAGGCGAAGCAATCCTTTGCTTGATCGATTTTGCTAAGTTAGCTGCTGTTTTTTTCTCTTGGTTCACCTGTGACATGGCATCAGTGACCTTGGCCCTCAGCTCTTGTTTGACCTCCGGTTCCATTTTCTGATGGTTAGAACCCCCAGCTGAATTTAAGGTTCGCATAGGCAGCGCTGCTGCGGACGGAGGAGAGCCCTTCAGTCCAGTGGATGCACCATCTGGAGTGCGATTTTGAACCTGCAGCAGACTGCAAAAGTTAGGGTCCGATTGCTTGGTCAAATGATCATGGAAAGATGAGATTCCATGTTACATTTACTCTTCAGTGAGTCATTTTCCAGATGTAACCCTAATTGAATTGCACGACCCTTTAATACCAAGTCTTGCTGCATCTTTTGAATGTCTGTCCATTAACAGAAGGAACAATGTCTTAAATATGGTGCTTTTGGTTTGTCCTAGACTTAGAAGTAAAGATGCCGGCAAAACACTCGGAAACAAGGAAACGATGGAAATGAGTGAAACATCTCTGGCAGGAGATTGGATTGACTGGAAGTCTTGAGGCGCGAGCGATCTGTCCCGGCGGGGTCTGGGTCGACCCTGGGCTGCTTGATAACATTTTCTCCAGGTCCTGGTTTGCTAGGGGAACAAAAAGAAGAACTGCCACCCAGCAAAACAAAGAATCCAGAATGTTTCTCACTGTTGTGCCTCTTTCAAACTCCAAAGAGACTTTGGCAACAGCAAGCGTGTTGAAATCAAACAGCGCCGATAAAATATCAAACAGCTATGTTTTGCTCCACGAAGCTGTCCTGCTGGAGACCATGTTTGGCCAAGATATCAGCTAGCGAAATGGTAGCATCAGCCATGTTGCTTTCTACCCAAACACCTACTACCTAAAAGCCTGGAACACCTGCAGCAAAGAGCGTCGAAATGTAGACATCAGAGTGGGAACATGTGAGCAACCGAGACTTGCAAAGCTCACATGTCAGCATGGTTCCACAAGAGTACCAGCAAGAACCAAGCCTCCACCCTCGCGCATGAGCTTCTGGTATTTCTCCCGGGACAGCCAGGAGGACTTGCCATGTGCAAGTTGGAACTCTCCACAGCCGAGCTCGAAGTCTTGGTGTGAGACCTCAGCTGATGAAGTTTATGTTATGTCTTGAAATGTTTTGTTTTAAAAGGGATATTTGTCCTCTAGTCTTTTGTTGTTTTTGTCCTCTAGTCTTTTGTTGCTTGCTTGTTTAGCTATTTTCTTTGCATCTTCACTTCATTGTTCCACTGTCTTTTAGTTGGCTGTGCGTTTGTTTGATTGGGCTACTTACTACGCTCAATTGATCAACAGATTGATTGATGGCTTGACCCATTGAGTGATAGGTTGATAGATGGATCAGTTGAAAGGTTGACAGATTTCAAGAGACTGATGGCTTCTGATTACTTAGTTTCTGACAGCTAGGTTGAGGCGGTAATGCTACCAAAACCATCAAATGACACACCTCCTTTAGCCTAGATACCAGCCAAAGCTTCATTTTCTGGTTCTCGAGCATTTCGACTGAGCTTCCATCCCGCCTTTTGGCCGAAGTAAGCATGAGCATGCATCCTGGTTCACGAGCTGGCACTTTGTTTTCCACCACATACTGCTCAAGCAACCCCTCCAGTGTGTCAGGTTCCAAGGAGAAGGGCTTGGGAGCTGCATCTTCCACAGGTGCAGCAGGGTGGTTGGAAGGGTCTGGACAGCTTCCAGAGCCCCCACAAAACCTAAGGGCACATCGGATACAAACCTAAATGCCCATTTGATACAAGTCAGCACGGGACCATGGATCACCAAATAGAATAAGGTCCAGTTGTTTTTTATGCCCCTGAAATTGGAAAATGTGTTTAAACACAATCCATGGCAGCTTCTTGTCGAAGTCTTGGATGAGGCTGCGCCATTGGGGAGCAAACAGCGGGTTCTCCAAGTGTAGGCCGCGAACTTCATTGGAAAGCTCAATGACATACTTCTTGATCCCTTTCGCTTTGTTGTTCAGAGAGAGCTTGGCAAGCTTCAAGGGGTAAGAGCTGAGGTCCACCTTGTCTACAGGAGGTGGTGTAGGGTCATAGGGCCTCACATTGCCCATCGTTTTGCCACCCCGCTTCCAATCCT